TTTACCAATTGAGCCATATGGATATATTGCTTAAATAAGATACTTTTTGTCCATCGACAAATTTATTTCCGTTTACATATCTTTAAATTTAAAGGCAAGTGCCAGGCATCGAGAAATTATGGAACGCGGACGTGTCCCTGTTAAATTCCAAAGAGACATTATTTATCGCTAATTTTGCAAATTTTCTCCTATCGCAGTAGATTTCTTGGAATTGACGATATTGGCGATTAATGATAAAAAAATCGTTGGACGAGCGACGGGCGAATCAATAGTCGAGCGGAATCGAAATATTTGACATTCCCCGAGATATATGCGCGCTGCGATAGAGATGAACTGACGATAAATATTAAAACGCGCCGGTTATGAAAGGCAAACGACGGAGACGCGCAAAGAGAGAAGGAAGGTCGTCGAACCTCCGTCACTCTCAAACTCGTTTCCGCGGATGACTCGCGAGGAATTCAGCAACGGAATATCTCTTACCTAATCGTTCTTATATCATTCGTTACGCTACGTTTTTTCATAGGTTGGTAAATCAAAAGCCTTTCGCTGAACCTGCCGACTTGTGCCTAACGTGTTTGCGCGGAAATTCAGCTCCTGTAAATTGCACATTACAATAATTGCGTTGATAAACAATTATATAAATAAAACACATTTGGAAGAAATTTAATGATAAACCGGGATTAAAAGGCTGAAAAACGTATTATTTCGAAATAGATCTTTCTCTCAGTTTTGAGGTTTAACAATGTTTGCAGGATAGCATTTCGATCGGCGAAAGAAAGTGCACGATTGTCCGCATGACAATAAAAAAAAAAGTCGCGGAAACGTCGACTCGTGCTGGATATAATGTGATTCCTTGCACTCGCTGAAGGAGAGTGCAAATAGTAATTAAACAAAGACCATAAAAGTAGGTTATCGCAGATCAGTGAAAGTACATCCGGATACTGATGAGCGTAGGAGAAAAGTCGGCACTCTATTCATTACTGCGAGGTAATAATGCCTTGATAAGAAAAGAATTTATATTTATAACATGTATCCTGCGCGCGCGCATATGTATATATACACTTATATACATCATTTGATTCCCTTTGATTGCGTAATCAGCTTTTGGAGTATTTCGCTTAGAAAGTTCCCGGCGGTAACTTCTCTATTAGAATTAACGATATACACTTTCCACGTGTATTGTTAGTCGGTAGAGGCTTTGCAATAAATACCGTTTGTTTTGTTCTTTGCGCTAGACAATATATGGCTTTCAGTTATGGTTTTACGTTATTCCAACAAGTGAAAGAATGTAAACACACGTGTAGCACTTTTTCGAAAATCGAGATATTTTTTACTTATTTACATAACAATCAAATCTTAATTTCTGTTGTCCTATTTGTGTATTCATTTCATATTTTAATCAACAGCCTACACTTTAATCTATCAAGTTAAACACAGTTTGATAAGATTCTATACAATGTTTCTTCTTTTTATCAGTTTTCGATCTATTATTATTCTTTTATATTCTTTAGTAAGCTTATATATCATACTGGAATTAATTGACGTTCATTCCAAGAGCATTTCCCGTTCTTACGCACGTTCCCGAAGAGATTCGGTGGGAATTTATTCTAGGTGTGGTAAGAAAATGTTTTTACGACTCCGTTGCTTTTTAGAAGGTCCCAAGTGAACTTTCGTAACACACGTTGCACAGTTCTAATCAGGAATGCGACGATCTGTTTATTTCCGTCGAAGTGTTCTCGAAAAGCGCGTCGGTAATCGCGGCGGATATTTTTAACAGCCAGGAAATCAGACTCCATATCATCGGCCGACGATTTGCAAGCCGCCGGCGGAAGCCTTACATATTCAACAATGACTCACATTTCCAGGAGTGTAACTCACCCCCTTTCTCACCCACGACAATGTACTGCGCCATTGTTTGCCTCCCCGTCCCAGATCGACTGTCCCTCCCTGACGTGACGTGCTTCATCCAATTTCTTTGTCTTCTTTTTTTCCTCTTCTACTCCGACACACTGCCATTTTTACGCAAAATCACCGCAATTTTCATTTAGACGTTTGTTTCGGTCTTTTCATTTCCCGAGAGCGACGATGGTTATAACGATTCGTACAAGACTAATTTGAGGTTTTACTTGAAGCTGAGCGATCTCGCGGTATTTCACAAGTAAGACGTCAACTGATACGCTAATAAAAAGAAATAATCGGTAAGATTGAAGTTCCGAAGAGCTCAGATTTCTCTAATTCTCGGCAACAGATTGCAATAAACGACTGGCAATTGTCACTGTATAAGCAATACATGCAACGATACGAAGAAGAAATGACGATCTAGTTGGTCCGAACTAGCCGTTCGGTCGACGATAAGATAGTGATTTTATTAAATAAATAGAGGCGAGATAAACCAGGGCGCTTGCTTCGGGATATACTGTTAGCGTTTTAATGAGACCGTTCCTTTCAGTGTCGTATAGTTTGAGCCTCGATCAATGACCAGGCCTTTTTGATTAACGGGGCCTTTTTAATTCAGCGTTCGAAAAAGAATATATAGACATTGTTACTAAAAAAAATATATATATATCTTTTAAACACAATAACTCTGACCTTAATGAGCTCGCGTCTCACAATGGTAACATTTCTTATTATGTTACTTTTGTTTCCTAAATAGGAATGAAATTTTCGTTGCTGTATTAAAATGCATCGGTGTAGAACCGACAGATAAGAAGAGCCACGCTATCTGCGATCTTTTTTTTTCTCTTTCTTCTATGAATATGAATAAGAGCTCGTTTTCGTGTAAAATAAATAAACGATAGGTACGTACGCGTTTGATTGCTGAACTACAATTATGAAATAGTTCAGCGATTACCCCAGGGTATGTAAATGTTTAATTTAATTTTAGAGCACGGTAAAACCTGTTAGTGAATTACGAAACTTGGCTATTAATTATTATACGATATGCCGAGTGGGAAATAGATTTCTCTCGTGTAAGGAGCAACGGTCAGGTGTAACTGTGGCCTTGAGTCAAGCTCGAGCCGTTTCCGGAAGAGGTTAATACCCGAAACGCATCGTTGCCTCTTAGGGATGGAGCGTGTCGTGAATGGCTCAAGTTTTCCATGCTTCGTGCAAGAAATCAGCCGTTCGGTCGATGTTCCTATTTATTTCCGAGCTCTCGTAACTTTGAAGGTCGGAGGAACTCGAGCTTGGATAATGTTATTAAATTTATCGATCGCCTGTAAACGCAAGTCCCGTAACTCGTATCGTAATATGCTATGAGTGACCGATAGCATCGAGAAAAAAAAGTTCGTCCGCCAATCATGTCTATTAGTTTAATAGTTCCAGTTGTGGGGCTGCGATATTCTGAATTGACCGTCGTTCCTTTCGGTGAAATGAAAAAAAAAAAGATTGAAAGATTTTAATTTACGTGTAATAGATTTTGGAACGTCACGATCACGAACGCCCGCGTTTATTTCGATCAGAGGCCGCGTGAAAAAAAAAGAGTAAATGTAAGAAACAGTCTCAGTTTTCTTAATAGCGTATTTATCGGACGAGAGTGGAATTGCCTCTTTTTCCGTTGTACTTTTGGCATTTCCATCGTCTGACTCCGTCGTTATTTTACGTCGCGTCGTGCCAAATCACGGCACGTTTGTCGGTCAATTAAAAAATTCACGGTACGATCTCAACGGTCCGGGGAACGCAGAAGAGGCGAACGCATGTCGGTGAACGTCCGCGGGGGGTCGTCGACCCAGGCCGACTACCAACCGGAGGAGGAGGTGAAGGAGGAGGTGGTGGTGGTGGTGGAGGTGGTGGTCTCGGTCATCTTCCTCGGCTTTAACGTCGAGTTGTCTTTTGCGCCGCTTCCTGGCGGCGGCGGCACCGCCTGCCTCCGTCCTTGATTCTCGTACTGAAAACCCTGGTCCGTACGATTATCTCGGTAATACGATGCCGTCACCGAGCCTTGAAGCCGAAAGGTCGTCTCGGCCGCTGGCGCAATTTGCGCGTTATATGGTTCCTTAATATGTGCTGCAGCAGGAAAGCTTGATATTTTATGAGGTTGTCGTGGAAAAAAGAACGAGTTCTTGCAAAGGTCTTGTTTGCGTTTGGTTTTATCTCCTACATCCGACAACGTCCATATTGAGTTTTGATTAATTGCCGTTTTAATATTTCTTAATGGATATGGTAATTTTGAAGATACGATGCGGATACGCGCCAAAGCGAAATATTGTGATAGTAGAAAAAGGAGTCACATTGTGTACTTGTAACAGTTTTCTCGTTGTTGTTTTGAATGACAATAATGAATTATCGCTTGTAATGTGAAGTACTTTTTCTTAAGATTCTATATATCGCTAAGATCCTTCAGGCTACTGACACTCGTCTTGGCCAAAACGCTTCAAAACTCGTATTTAGAATTTAGTAAATAGATACGGCATACTCTGCGGTTCTTGACTATTAGAGGGAGTGATCCACTTGCGAATAATTATTCGACAATCCTCATGTCTGTTCTGCATTCAGTCGGCAATAGATTCTTTCCTATTCCAAATGTATCGAGTCAGTCTTCCAAGGCAATCAACAGGAACTACGTGTATCATCGATAGTTTTTATGGAAAAACCACTTCTTGATGAACTGTTGAATTGTACATTTAATTTCATATCCTTTAAAGCTCATATACAGGGTGTTGCGGATAAGGTGTCCATCCGCTCGTATACAAGTAGAGCGGGTTAAACTAAAACGAAAAGTTATATACCATTTTGTAAAATTCCCAATAGTTATCGAGTAATTAATTGAAACGTCTGAGCGAATAAGCGCGAAGAAAGCGGTAAGCCGGACTCGGCAGACATTAAATGCTACAGTTCTAGCGGAAAGTTTTACCGAAACGCACTCGTGTAGTGCTACCGTAGCGCTATAGTAGCGGTGTCTTGCCGGAACGCACTCATTATCTGGCGAACATCAGCGCTATCAAAAGAGGAAACCTATTCTTCGCGTTATACTCAATCTTTCCTCCCTTTTTTTCTTTCAGCAACTGTTCCGCAGTCAACCGCAAGGCGCGACTCCGCAGCAGTTACAACTTCTGCAGCAGCAACAGCAGCAGCAGCAGCAACAGTACCTAGCTGCATCCCAAGCGCAACAGCAGCAGCAGCAGCAACAGCAACAAAACTTTCCTACGGCCCCTTACACCGTTATCAGTGGTCAAGAGCCTTACGTAGGGGCGCTGATAGCTGGGGCACCACCTCCCGCCGTGGTACCGCAGTACTATGGTGTCGGACCCTGGGTCTATCCGGCTGGATTGCTGCCGCAGGCACCACCTCAGGCGGCCGCGCCACCGCCACCTCGGCGACCGCTCACCCCCTCTTCGGCAGCGGCTGCGGCCGCCGCCGCGCAGGACACCGCCAACAATCTGGCACAAACGGTGAGTTAGCCTTCGGCAACATTCGTCAGAATCCGTAAAAAAAAAGAACAGAACAGAAATAAATAGCAATTTTCCCGAATCGTGCGTTCGCAAATGAAAAGGGAAGGTCCCTTTGTTTTTATTCTCGGGGAACGTTCTCTCAGGTTGTTCGTATCTGCTGGAAAATTGGAGAAACGGAAGTTTCGCGATTTTTCGAAAGGTTCTCTCTGTGGAGTCAATTCTTAATTTCCCGGGGTTACGAAGGCGCGCGCACGCATGTATCGAAATAAACCGAAACGCACCTATACACTGTAATCGCGATGATATACGACCGTTAAATAAAGGGGCTAAATTTAGGCTTGATGGCGGGATAGATAGAGAACTCACGAATTAGTGCGAAATTAGACGTGATTCTAATTCTGTGAGGGCTATTTTCTCGCTCGCCCGTCCCGCGAGTGGTCGATGATTGTTTTTGCTTAACACGAGACGCGGAGCTGCGTTTATTGTACCAATTAGAAATTGCCACATTGTCTTTCTAAATATTTTACTGCTGTGACAAGTGGAGCAGAAGATTGGAACGCGTAGTAGCATTGTGATGTTCCCGACTTATAAAATTAGACATTCAATTTGGAGCGAGTTACGTTTATTGTATTTATATGTGCAGCGGATGCAAGTGAACGCGACAGAAATCTCGGTGATTTACACGGAGGAGCTTGCATAAACGGTCGGGCGTTTCAGATTATCGCGTATTTTCTCAAACAAGTCGAGCTCAAGTTTTAGATCCGTTCTTATATTCGAGATTGTCTTGAGTACAGTGTTAAGATGTTATAAACCAATCACAGAGCCATATTAACATTTTAATAACCAATTTCACAAACGTCGGTTAACTGTTAACCAGAGTTTAATCAACTCCCTATCTTTTTCTATTTTGTTATCTACGAAGAGACAGAGAATCAATTAACCTCGACAGTTGACCGACGTTCGTGTGAAACTGATCCCAAGACATTATTTAAGACGATCTTGAAATAAGAACAGACTATGATTACCGGCTCTATTGTCTAAAGGTCGAGCACTCTTCACAAGTATTTCCTTTCACGAAAGCTACAAGAAGCCACTTAGATTCAGTCTTGTCAGTTTTAATTTGCTAGTCTCTTCAAGTTGTATTATTAACTGACTTTTAATGATATTTTTGCTACGGTACGTTATGGATGCTTATCGCAATTAATGTTTCCCCAGGTACAGGGTCAGTATCAGGTGATACCGGCTTATTACGATCAGAACGGCTCCATCGTCATGGGAGGCGTACGAGGACTAGGTTCGGCGGCAACCCCCATGAGATTAGTCAGCCCTGCACCAGTTTTGGTGAACCGAGCCCCGTCCCAACCGCCACCAGGTCCACCGGCACCACCGCCGCCAAATCTATATTCTCAACCAACACCGACGTCGCACAGCAACGCTACGCCCGGCGAGTGCCTAGGTGAGTTTAACGGTAATCCGATCTGCTGTAACTACCGTGACATTGTAAACACACTGTGTAAGAAGTCTTGTAAAATCATATTGTATGTAACATCTTGTAAAGATCTATCCCTCGCTTCCCCTGCCCTCGTCGTGTGATACATGTGTAATGCATGTCTGTGTGCTACGAAACGAAATTATACACTCGTCCGATATGATACGTAAACGTGTGCCACTATCGTTAATATCCGTTAATGATATCACTTTGCCACTGGTTGATTCGTATGTTTCCTGTAAATACGCGTAAAACACGCCCGACACTGTGTAATATTGGAACCAGAAAAAACGAGAGGACAGATACCGGGACACGTGTCGCAGATGAGGGATACTACCGTCTTGATGCTCGAGACGGTGGCAAAAAGAAACAATGTCTATGCGTCCACCATCGCAAGGGGGGGGGGGGGTTACCACACTTTGCGCAGAGAGCAGAGGGAAGATAATTTTACCAGTTTGTCGCACCTAAGGAATCGTCCGACTCGGAGAGATTAAATTTAACAAATACATTAATATCCTCTGGCGAATTATTACAGCATGGTGAACTCTCGTAGAACTATGATTTTTTTTCGAATTTTCACTAATTTCCTTTCTAGTGCAGAAACATAGAAAGATGAAAGATTTGCGCTGCGTTACGTTATGATATAAAGTCCGATGCGGGATCATGGGAAAAGTAATATAAATTTCGCTAGGAGCGATAATCACATTACAGAAAACGTGAAAAGGTGAATAGCGCCGTACAAAGAGTTCAGTATTCAAGATACAAACGTGAAAACACGTTGTTTTATTCCTCGAATTTTTCTTTAATTTTCCAATCGTGTTCGATCAATGCTGTTTTATACTCTCTAAAATTTTTGAAGTGAAATTCTCACTCGAATTATGGTGTCACCGATCATTTCACTCTTATTTTTAAAGTGAAGTCGTTAACACTCCAAAATTCACCCCAACGTAAAGTACGGTATTCCGCCACTAGGTGGCCGCTGAACTCGTAAGTAAGCTCACGATAGTCCGGTATATAAGAAACCCCGTCACGGGCTGGGTTCTTCCGCGACAATCAGCAGAATAAGCGAAACTGTCACATAAAGGGTAGATTTTCAATACTGGCTGTGAAATTAGAATACAGCCTCTATATGCGATGATCATAGTGAACAAACTATAGCGAAGCTCTCGTCCATGAATTTTATACTGCTGACAATCGATTAAAGTAAAACGTAGCACTCTTTTCAGAGTTGAAGAATCAATCCAAGTAAAGAGTTGAGCAACGGCACCCTTTCAAAAAGTGAAATTGCACTTCAAAAGAGTGAGATTCCACTCGAAAAAATTTAGAGAGTAAAATTACCACATTACGTTCAATTTTAAAGATACGAATAATACTACTAACTGCTTTGCAAAGATCGTCTACGATGCGATGGCAAATCGGTTCGCGAATATGCGATACGTAGATCGCTAAGCTTCTCCGTAGACGGTGTAAGGTTCGGTAACATACGCTAATCAACACTTACGACGACTAAGAAAACGCGTGTGGGTTGCGGGCTTTTGGTGCAGGTCTGGCGGCGTGCAGCGCAGCAGCGGTGGTCGCACAAGCTCAGGCAGTTGCGGTGCAACAGGCGCAGCAGCAAAGCTCTGGACTTGCTGCGGGTTTAGCGGCTCTAGGATACGGCGGATCCCCGCTCGGGGCATTGGGCTCGCCTGCCCAACTGCAGAACACAGGTATATCACCCGCGATCGTGCTCGATCCTCTACTCTTTTTTTTTCCTCTTCCGCCTCAGCCTTCTCCTCGGGCATCTTGCTCTCGACGAATTGTCTCTATTCTCCAGGAAAACGGCGCTTTCTCGGTTCCCTAAACCCGCGGATTTCTTTCTCTTTTTTTTTTCCAGGCGAAAAATGCAATTTCGCATCTGTATTCTTGAAAACCAGACACTATGGAGCTTGCCGTAAATTCATAACATGTACATATATGTGTAATTTTTTAAGTTTTTAAGGATATGAAGGGATATTAGAGTTTCTGAATTTCTGTATCTTGTTATCTTGTATATATAACCGACTTAGTAACGATAACTTTTAACGACATGTACATAAAATAAGTACGCTGCCGCGTATGAAAAACATGCCCATTAACTGATTAAATTAAGGAAAAATAGATAATTGCATACATTGTAATTGTCCGGTAGTTGCGTGGCACGAAAGAAAGATATGACAAACCCTGTGCGTTTAAATGCTATATATATACTTTACCTTATCTCATTATGGAAAAAGAGACACCCTCCGAAATATTGAGCTTATTAATTCGAGTGCTTTTTTCCTGGGACCAGAGAAATTTCTTTTGGCTCTTCTACATTGGTGGTGTGTACGGATTTTTATGTACAAAAACAAATAAAAAGTAACGTAAGGTGTTTGCATGCTTCGTACAACCTAATTGACTTGTACGTTCATGTTGAATATAGCCAACTCTCTTTCAGCAACGTGCCTTTCTCAGTAGAGCGTTTGTGTCGATTTGTTAATTATCGTAATCCGTTCGATATCGTCACGTCTCTTGTATATGCTCGATACCGATTGCCCTCGAGCATCCCGTGTTAAGATGACGGTGTCCGTCTTGTGTGCAGGTTTAGGCCTCGGTGCGTCTTCAACCGGCAGACGAGATTCCTTTGATAGAAATACTTCAGCCTTCAGTCCAAGCTTGGAATATAGCCGGGCGAAGTGGCCTCAGAGTGGTTACGGCGCCCTCGGTAAGGACCGTTTTGTTGTGTGTGAAATGTACTCTGATCTATGGGGTGTAGAGCGTCTAGAACGGTACATTTGAATGTCCCCGTTGCGCTGATAATGTACGGAGAGATACGCAACTGATAATGAAAGTTGAAAGGAGAATTACCCTCGTTCTGTATTTCTGACTTTTTTTTATCCTCTCTCCATATATATACACGTTTCTCCACATGTTCGATGCGCAGCGAGGATATTTTCAAGGAGGTCATGAGTGTGCCGATTTAGACGCCTGTACACGACGGCTGTGAGGCATCTCGGAATCGCCATGGACGCTCGATTATCTATGTTGTACATTGTGTCTTAATAATTATATTGTAATCCATTTGTACACGTGCCTTTTGTATACATAACTCAGCTATGATAACACTACCCTCCTCTCTAAACTGATCCCAACGTATAAATATGTTGCGTCCTGATGCTTGAAAACGTTTTAATTGGGAATGAGTAAGTGTCCGTAAGGATGACTAGTTTAGAGAGCGATCACACAGTGTACGCCACTGTAATCCGTAGCGATTTTAACATAACACATCACGGGATTAGACTTAGCCTCTATACAGTGTACATTGCTTCTGTACAAAAATTGTACAGCGTATCATTCACAATCAGTGAGATAAGAAATACTCTTTTCTTTAGATACAGGTACCTGGGACAGTGTGTATTTAGCTACAAATGCAGGTACTTCCTGCAAAGAGTATACAGACACAGGTACAGATACAGATCGAGCATACCTAGATACGAGCGTTTATCTTACTCTTTGTGTAATTTCAGGAAATTTTGGAGTCGATTTTTGTTTAACGAATATGCCCGAGGATCGGTGGCATTTTGTTAATTAATTATTATAGTAATTAATAATAAGACTTGAGCTTTTTTTTTGCAACTTTTCCAAGTTTCTCAGTAGTTGAAATCACTATTTTTCATTTGATTTAAAATAGGCATTGTTGTAGCAAAATTTGCGTTTTATTTGTAAAGATACGTGATATTTGAGATCGGAGATTGTCGCAAATGTGGGATGATCTTTGATATTCGAGGACGAATCGACTCCAAATTGATCAAAGAATCTGCCATTAAGCGTTTTGATTTATTATGCAGGTACAGTTACCGCTTCACCGAGTCCTCTGGGCCTGTCATTAACACCACCGCCAACTTTAGGAGGATCTCTGGGTGGTCTTGTCGGTGGAGCCAGTCGAGTATCAGCAGCCCCCGGTGCCGAAGCCAAGTTCCGCGCCAGCGCGGTACCCACCCTAACCGCCAACGGAGTGTTTGGCTCTAGTAGTTCTCTATTTCCTAATCTCGTAGGCAAGCCTGGCCGTGGAGGCGCCGCTAATATCAGCGACAAAAATTCCGGAGGACGTTCCCGCCTATTGGAAGATTTTCGAAACAATCGGTAAAAATCGATGGACTGTTGTTACGATTCTAGCATTCAAATTATGACGTCGGCAATGAAGCATCATACAAATTTTTTGGCACTATTATCAAAATTTATTTGTTTTCTCGAGAGAATGTCATCGTTTGTGAGTAGGATAGATCGGCAACCTGTTGTAACGAAGGCTTTTTTGTTCTTGTTTCTTGTCTTTTTATCTTGCTTACTGACATTGATCTTATCCACATTCTCGGTTTTCTCTGAAAAATAGACTTTCATAACAATTGATTAAGATATATTTATTAATATAAGAAGATAAAGAATTTTCAGTACAATTGAAATTCTATCAAGTACAAACTACAAATAGTTGTATGCAAAACAAATGTATATTGCGAGAGTAAATTATATATTATTTTTTGCTTCTGACGTCGTAGGTCGTAATCGGTAGCTGTATCCTAGTGCGACTTGAACAATGCGCTAATAAATTACACACGTGTTCTTCTCACAGTTACCCGAGTCTTCAGTTGCGCGACTTGGCCAATCACATAGTCGAGTTCAGTCAAGATCAGCATGGTTCGCGATTTATTCAGCAAAAATTGGAACGAGCCTCGGCTAACGAGAAACAGCTCGTGTTCCAAGAGATTCTTTCCTCCGCATACTCCCTCATGACAGATGTCTTCGGCAATTATGTCATTCAGAAGTTTTTCGAATACGGTACACAGGAACAGAAATCGACTCTCGCCCAAAAGGTAAATTCCGGTTATACCGAAAAATTGTTTGATTTAGGAGAACCGATTGGACTAACTAACTTTAATCTATAAATAATTGCTTCAGTTCAATATTTATTCGTAGATCAATACGAGCATGAATTCTTGATGCATTGATAGATAGTCTTTTTAGTAACATTTCTAATTTTATTATTTTTAAAAAATCTTTGTAAATATTTTTTTATTTGTATAGTCTAAATTCTTATTTCTTATTTTATTTATATCTCGTGCAGAATATACAAATTACAGAAAGAAATATTTAGATTGTCAATAGATACTAGTATTGTGTTATCGTTACTGTTACTTTTGACCTAACTGTATTAAATATGACGAAAAACTTTGCGTGTCATCTGATTTGACCACCATGATTAGGCATAAAATAATCTGATAATTTATCAAATAATTACATTAAACGATATCTTTAGGAGTGTTCTTTTGCGTTAATGATTTTTTTTTCATTTATACCAGGTTCGTGGACATGTTTTACCACTGGCACTGCAGATGTATGGCTGCAGAGTCATACAGAAGGCTCTCGAGTCGATCGGACCGGAACAGCAGCAGGAAATCGTGCGGGAACTGGATGGACATGTATTGAAGTGCGTTAAGGATCAAAACGGCAATCATGTTGTGCAAAAATGCATCGAGTGTGTTGAACCGCGAGCACTGCAGTTCGTGATAGGAGCGTTTTCGGGACAGGTGTACTCTCTGAGTACTCATCCGTACGGTTGCCGAGTGATCCAACGTATTCTCGAGCATTGTACTCCTGAACAAACTCAAGGAATCTTACAAGAGTTGCATGCTGCCACTGACCAATTAATCCAGGATCAATATGGCAATTACGTCATTCAACATGTGCTTGGTAAATATAATTTCTTTCATATCGATGTAATTTTCAGAATTAAATATCTTTCAGATGAAACCAATTTAAAGACTTTAATAAATTACTGATTAATAATTGACGATAAATGTATTACCACTAGTAATAGTAAATAGTAATATTTGTATAATCTTTATCTCTTATATATTCTCATTGTTACATAAAGCTATTGTTATTAATGAAAATTATGCCGTTTACATTACTATTAATTTAACTTACGTATCAAATATTAATAATTTATATTTTTCATAGAGCATGGAAAGCCTGAAGATAAAGCACAATTAATCGGCAGTGTTCGAGGTAAAGTACTCGCTCTTTCTCAGCATAAGTTTGCAAGCAACGTTGTGGAAAAATGTGTCACTCATGCTACAAGACAGGAACGCGCTGTACTGATTGAAGAAGTTTGTGGCTTTAACGACAAGTGAGTGTACTTTCGTATCTAATGCACTGCTAGGTGATCTAAAATGAATGTTGCCGAGATTGCCTAATGGTTATCGTTTGTTCTTTTCATCTCTTATCACGTAGCGCGCTGAACGTGATGATGAAGGATCAGTATGCGAATTACGTCGTTCAGAAGATGATCGACGTCGCCGAGCCGGCGCAGCGCAAGGTGCTGATGCATAAGATCCGGCCACATTTGGGAAGCCTGCGCAAGTACACCTACGGCAAGCACATCATCGTTAAACTGGAGAAGTTCTTCATGAAGACTGCTTCGGCGATGGGAGTAGGAACAACGCCCGCTGCGTCGACGAGCAGCGGAGGCAGCGATCTCGGCCCGATCGGACCGCCTGCATCCGCCGCGTCCGGTTCTGTCTCGACGTCGAACCAGCAGTCAACGCAGGTTTTATAAACGCGCGTGCACGGGATCGCCTCTCGCCGCGGAAAAGGAGAAAGGAGGTCCGCAAAAAAAAAGAGGCAAGAAGAACTGCAATATCCGCACGTCGCATTAAGTACTACGCTATCTTTTATCTTAGCGAGATCTGTTCTATTTACCGACGGGAATGACGATTTTCAACGAATTTCCCACGTTTGTTTCTTTTCTCGTTTTGCCCCGTGTCCTTTGAAGGCAAGAGAAAAAGAAGCAGCAAGAAAAAAAAGCTCGAACGATTGTTTCCCGTGAGAAATTTACTAATGTAACAATTTTTCTTATTTTTGCAATTGAAGTTGACGATACTTGTACAGTAACTAGCTTCTTCAGGACCCGGGCAACGCGATATCACGTTATGGCGAAGTCCGTTCTAACGAGAACCCCACGAAAAAAGCAGTTTGTAGAAACGAGAATAGATACGTTGTAGCGCATTTTTCTATCGTTTTGCAATACGTACCTCTACATGGGGAGAATCACGTGCGTTAGAGATATTGGCATTACCGAGTATATTGAATATATCGAGCATACCGAGTAGAAGTTGCACTATGATTTTTGATTTGCAAATAATGTTTCACGATTGGCTCGACGAGTTTCAGGTATGTTTCACGACCAATCGGCGCATGCGGAGCTAAGCTATTGGCTAGTCTTGCGCCGTATAAAATTAAATTTCGTATAGATCCGTAAAAGAGGATTGCTCGATTATTGAATTATCGTGCAGAGCAGTTACACTGGATTTATTAAATGCGTTACGTCCCCTCGATTTAGCACATAAAAAAAGGGAAAAAAGTAAAAGCTTTATCCTCCGGCGAGAATTAACAAAAATGGAGCATTATGGATGTGCAAGGCGTCTCATGCGAGAATTACACTTGACGAGAACGTTAACAAGCTTTTACGAGGGCGACGCGACAAAATCACGGACAGTTTTAGAGACAGTTAGGTCTTAGTGCTGCATGCATTTATATCGAATTGTACGAGGGTTGTAAAACAGTACACGAATATTGTATACACGTGCGCGCGCGCGTTCACACAAAACCCACACTATACACACATACACACACCCAACACACCGCGCGTAATGTGTGACGTTCCCGATCCCGCGTATACCGCGCTGCTTTCTCTCTTTTACACGCAACTGCTGCTTTAGTATTATTTTTAAACGTGCGGTATGCGCTCGATCGACGAATCAACAGACGAGAGAATAAGGTTAAAACTTGAGAGAAGTAGAAGTTTTTAGGAGTTATAGATATGTTGTTTAAATGTAGCATAGCGTTTAACATGGGAATAATGAAAAATCAGGCATTGACCCCTGAACCTGGACCTCAGACCTGACCATCGATCTGTCCCCTTGAGACTACTTGGAACGTTCACAAAGAGCGATTATTTCGGTATTTGTTTTCTTTATTTTTTCTTTCTTTTTTAACGTCCAGATAACTTGCACAAGTTTTCAAATGAGAAAAAGGTTTAGTTTTTTTTTTCATTCTTGTTCACATTAATTTCTCTTGATTACTTGACACGTACAAAGGGAAGTGAAGACAGATATGAAAAAGCAGGCAAAGTGAAGAGGCAACAAGATAGAACTGTTCACTCTGTTTTCGTTCACTTTTCATGCTCGTAACTTCCGGGAGTAAGGAACATACCTTTTCTTCGCTCTCTTTCTCCCTCTGTTTCTCATTTCCATTATCTCGTATTCCTCCATCCCCTTCGAGCCTTCTTGAGATCCTCGAATTTTGTAAATTGTGATATAAATAAATAACAAATGTGTATAGATACGAATATCCGAAACGCGAGGACCGATAAATTCAGTGAATATTTTATTTCCCCCGGGAACATTTCCCTTTACTTTTGACGGAGTCTGTGAATATTATGTATTATATAATAATTACTAATTATATTAAATTTATGATTTACGTTCTAAACGCTGCTGTCCTAACCGTAACACACACACACACACACTCCCCCCCCCCCCCTCTTTCCACACTTTCTCTAACCAAACTTATCCAATTTCACATTTTTCTGAAGTATCTAATTGTAAGATATAAACATATTTCATGGATTTGCAAAAATAAGTTTTATATATGTATATGTATGTGTGTATATATGTATGTATGCATGTATATATGTATGTACACACACGCACGCGCGCGCGTGCATGCATATGTATACATAACACACGCACGCACGCACTCACGCGCGCGCGTGCATACATATGTATACATAAACGCACACATACACACACACACACACGGAGAGAAAGAAAGAGAGAGAGAGAGAGAGAGACCTTTCCCTTCCCCTTAATAATTTGCAGCTACCATTTTTGGAACGTAAAAGCCGAAAATCATTATACATTGTATAAATGATATAAACGCGTTATTAAAAACAAAAAGACACATCGCTTGTCAGTGATCCGCTCGCGCTATTTCCTCCTCATTGCCTCTTCAGATATACATATATACCTTCGGACACACGTCACACTTTGAACATTTTAATTGTATGGTAGACCATTGGGGGGGGGACAAAGAGAGCGCGTACTCAGCTATTTTCATTGGGCTCGGCGCATATAAATGCCACAAATGTGGAAGACCCTTTTCATCTCGGACTAATTTTTATACATAACTTTTACGTTTCTCTCGATTATCAGCCTCCATCCCGTGTACAATGTGTGATATATTTCGTTTCGAGATAGATGTTAAATATGTAGAAATCGAGGAGAAAAGAATGAAAGAACTCGTAAAACTCGCCAACAAACTAGATTAAACGCCCGTCACACGACTCTGTATAAAAAATAAAAGAGGGAAGAACGTAGCAGCTTTCTTTGTAAGATATTGTAAATAACGATTTATTAACGAAATTGACAAATTCTTACGTACTTCTCTCACTTTCTCTTTATCTCTATCCATCTCCCGCCGCTCTCTTCTCTCTCTCTCTCTCTCTCTCTCCCCCCCCTCCCCCTCTCTCTTTATCTTTCTTTCTCTTTGTTCGAAGCAGAGATTACTTTTGTCACAACGTCGTTAAGGGGGTGGGTGACGGACGAACACGCGACGAAAGTAAACTTATTTCGCCGTTCGATGCTCAACTCTCGCTCCTTCCTTGCAGCAGGCGACCCTTCCGAAAATCGCTGAGGCTGCACGTTCGCTCGATGTATCTCACACATGTTTACATGCATACACAGACATAATGACACACGCATACGCAGTTAACATGCTATAAAGATGCGAAAGGCACAGTCGAAAGACCTCTCGTGAATATGGACACACATTCCAACCGCCACCTCATCTTCAGTCAGGACGCCGGACCTGTAAAAACCGCTTTAAAAAAAAAAGAAACGAATTACATAAATGCGAGAGACGTGTGAAACGTGTTTATAATGCTTAAGGAAACTGTGACGAGGAGAAAAAAAAATAGTTCCTTCATCCATAACGATAAATAGCGATTGCGCGATTCATTTGTAAATTAAAAGTCGTAAAGAGAACAAGAAACACCGCGCCTCTTTTCTGTAATAGATCCATCTATCATACCTGACGAAATCGCGCATACAGGAAGCGAGGTATAAATTAAGCGAGAAAAACGTTTGTGAAAAAAAGAAAAATGGTACGAAACGTAAGTCGAACGCAAATATCTCATGTCTTATCAGCTAATGTAAGATTATCGATTTACCTATCGTATTTTTATTACTATTATTATATATTATTATATTGTATTATTACTATTATTACTATGCTATTGGATATGTTTGATTAACGGTCTCCCTCCCCCTTGGCCCCTATTTGATTATTCATTTCCGCTATTACTAATCGCTAAACATATGTAAATATATGTATATGCTATGTTATAAATTCGTACGTATATACATATTTATACGTATGTGTATACGCATATATACATATACACATGTATAAGGCACACGTAACACATTTATAAATATGATATAACATATTTCACACACAAGTACATTTCTCATTAATCTTCATCATGTTTCTCCTCCTTGTCTCTCTCACTCTTTTTGCTTTCCCCTTCCCTTTCCTCCTTATGATAAAATATCTCGAGAATTTGGTATGAACGTTTAGGAATAGAAATCGCATTAATCTAGCAATCTTGTCGTCATACATCTATTTAAGCCTCCCCCTTGTACCAGACGAAAAAAAATAAGTAAAGAATTCTTCTTATCAATTTTTAATTATAAATAGTGTAAATTTTTTATATAGCGTAAAAATGCGATACCACTGATGAGACGCTGCCCGAGTAAATGCGTTTATTGTGTGTAAAGAAATGGAGTGTGGAAAAGAAAAGAAAGGAATGGTGACCGATGAAATCACACGATCTTCACTCGCGATCTTTATTATTTTTGTCAGCTGTATATTCCTCCCGGAAGCAAAATTTACGAATCACGTTGATCCAGACAGTTTCGAAGTGCGATCAGCCTCGTACAAATTCCATTTCCTTCTTTTTTTTTTTTTAGCAAGTGTGTAAATTGACGATGGCATTGCTATGCTTGTTGCTTTCGACGGTAGTCTCGAACACCGTGATCTGTAAATTCGATGTAACTTTCATTTGCGAAAGAGAAGCAAAGGGAGAAACGGTTAACTGATTTATCCCGATTTCCCCGCATAAATTCTGGGATGTCTTTGCTACTCTTTTGGTGTGATGGAACGCAGAGAATTTCGCGAAATGGGAGCCTTTTTAAGTATCACGTGCGTCCCGCAATGGAACGCACCTCCAAGAGCGGAAGTATGCCTGAGGGAAAAAAGAAAAATTGTATCCATGAAATATCGTCATATATAACGAATCTTCAGTTTATGCGACTGGCGTGAAAAACTGGCAAAAAAAAAAGGAAGAATTGTGAAGAAGGCAAATTTTACGAACACGTTTTATTTAAGCTCGTCGAGCTTCGGTTTAAAGCATTCGATTAAAAAAAGGAAAGTACGAAGGATAAATTTAAAAGCAATTATTTTTTTAGACGTATCGATCAGTTTAAATCCACTTTAAGTTGTACTTTTAGATATTCGAAGATATTTTGAGTCTTGTTTCTTTGTTATTTTAGTGAAACATTAAATTCGTTGTATGTACGAGGATATCGCATGGAAAGCTGCGGCACCACTGTGACAAAAGTATTGTGTAAAATCGCTCTGTTGTTTCTTCGAACATTTGTATCTCAGGATAGACCTATCTCTTTCCGCTGTACCCCTGCCCTTCTCCTACGTTGTCACTCTCTCGAATCTTTCTGACCGCTTTTCTCCCTATTCTTTAAGAATCGACTCGCAAACGACCGAAAATGTCGGCCCTTTCTCACCGGGACATTTAAAGCATTAAGATACAAGCAAATTAAGCAACCCTATAAATATTGACTATACATATATATAAATATATATATCTGTATATGTATATCTAAGCCTTATCGGTATGATATATATATGTAATAAGTACTATTTAAATATTGTAACAATTGTATATGATTTTAATACTACACGCTAATTGTATCATATATATATGAAGGATCTGCGACCTCCCACTTTGCAGACATATACAGACAAACATGCAAGTACATAAACAGGCACACACACACATCCACCCACCCCGCATGCACGCGCGCACGTGCGCGCGCGCAAACACACAGACAAATACATATGCGCGCGCGGGTACATCGTACTCGTGGGTGTACATAGACACTAAATACTTAACAAACACACTCACACGATACATACATACATGCGCATACACGCGAAAGACGATTGTGCAATTTCAAGACAGTCGAGAAACAAGTCGATACGCGGACATTCTTCGATTGCCCATGTATGTTCACCTCACGCCCACCGGATTCAACTGCCACGGCGCTGGTATATGAATAGTTGTTTGCTCGAATGAAAGGCCTCGTCGAAAGGCCCTTTCTCGAATATCGTCGGCCTTAATGAAAAGCTCGTCGGCACCCTGAAAATCCAACGTCAAGTAAAGATTCCGCCTTTCTGCCCGGGTATCCTGCGTTTCTTCGTTCGTCGCTTGACCTTCTCGTTAAGATATGTCGCTAGAAGGGACACAGTAGGTATTGGTTTTTATATAAATTGAGTTCGAATCCTGTATCGCACGCGGAGAATTTGCAAAACTCTTGGGACGCCGCCGACGCCTCTCCTTTCTCTTTAACGTAAACGAATAATTACGTTCGGGGAGGGTGGGACTTTCGCGTTAAGATCGACGATACGTAAACCGTAAAGAGGGATAAGCAAGCGAACATCAACGGGAATGGTGCGCCCTGATATTAAGACTGATGTACAGTTGCGCGCTATTCTCATCATTTCACGGGTCATGCTCCTCCACCGCTCTCCTCCCCCCTACGCCGAGACATACTCGCCTCACACACTCGCGAATAACACGAACACAACAATACGGAATCGCAGGGCTAAACCAAGTATATATATATATTTCGTATATATACCAAAAAGGAACGCGTATATATTAAATATATATATAAATATCTCGTATATATTTGTCTGATATATGTCATATATGTAACGCGTAACACTGTTCGTATCGATCACCGGCTCTTATAAGAGCGCGGCCAGCGCAAACGTGGCTTTATCCCGCGCGGAAAAGAAAGTGCGAGATATTTCGAAAAAATTAACCCTCGGGACGACAACCTGGAAAATATGCCGGGATTGTGGGCTCCCGCGATTTAGACCAAACACGCTTGGCGTAAAAATCTCGTTCGACATCGGCGAGAGAAATCTCGTCGTGAGGCACGCCCCGTGCAAGACGGCACGATGAATATATACGGGCCGGTGATACTGTCTGAGACACACACGATAGATGCAGAGGGAAATAAAAGAAAAAAAAATCAGCCGCAAGAAGTGTATTCCATGTTAGCAAGATAATTAGATAAGTGGGACGGACAGGCATACGGATTTAAAGGAGATAAAAAAAAGCAAGCAAGATCACATAACTTGTATATTAGTGTATAGAACGCGTAGAAACGATGAAATAGCCATTGAAGAATAAAAAAAAAGGATCATTTTCGACAATGTTTTTTACAAACAGGCAGGACAGTGCAAGTAGATTAAACAAAACAAAATAAAAAAAAGGAGAGAAAAATGTCATTGTACCATTGTAAGCGAGAAGAGGAAGAAGGAAGGAAGGGAGGAATGCGCGCGCGAGCGAGAGAGAGAGAGACAGAGCGTTCTTTCCGAGGCAATTACATTGAATGCATTAGATGCAGGGCCAAATTATCTCGTTACTTGACAAAAGACACAAAAGAGCATACCTGCACAAACAAACAAAGAAAGAAACTCTTGGATCCCTTTGATGCGACAGGATTTTTCGATCGCACCTCTTCGAGACGCGTTTCAATAAACTTGTTTGAAAATGACACGTAGCTTTGTTGAAGAGATCGTCTCTCAAATTTGTTCTGTCGTTGTTTGATTTACACTTTGCTTTATTTCGAAACAGAGTTGTCGACTGTTCTGACCACGTCCACTTGTCTGTTAAGCCTTTACGCAACTGTAATCTGTGCTTGTAATCATCTCGAAAATGTATATAGAATTGAAAGGAAGTAGAAAAGCGATACTAGACAGCTTGCGAATGTCACATTCGCAATTACATTAGTAACTATTTAGTTGGTTTGTGATATATTAATGACATCAATTTTGATTCAGCACTATTAATGTTTATTGCAAGTGACAACATTGTTGGAAAATGCAAAGTGGTATTCTTCAATTTTCTGGAAACATAATTACCAAGTTCAATCCGGTCTGAAAAGCCGCGCGCAATTGACAAAGCAAAGATGTGTAAAAACGTAAATTCTAAAATCATAAAAATCTACGCGATGACTTATTCACGGTTTGGAAAATAATTTTACTTTGATTTCCGTCGCAATTTTACGAGATTTGCCTTCTACAATGAGTCACCGTACGCATTTTCATAAACTGTTTTAATTGCTCTTTAAAAATCACTTAGTGAATTGTCACCAATTGACTTAGAGAGTAGATTTTTCTTTAGATTTTTTTGACAAATCGAACTAACTGAAGTCGTTTTACATTTATCCATCGGCGTGGACAAGTTTTGTGAAAATTTTCCACGCGAGAGCAAACGTCTCTGATTTTAAATTGGTTTGTTTCTCTCCCCCCCTCTCTCTCTCTCTCTCTCTTTCGCTTGTTCTTCTCTTTCGAGTAAAAAAATCGCGATAATGTAACTGCATTTCATGCACTTACACACATACAAAGATACAAAACACAGACACAGACATACACACAGAGGACACTGAGGGTTTAGAGATCTATCGAGTTATTGTCTTAGAATCATCTCGTAGCGGTCCGCCATGCATTGAAGTAATAAAATATAAATGAAGTTATAAATAATCAATTAAGGAAGGTTATACTTGATTATAGGGATAAATAATATTTCTCGTGCTGCAAACGGTTACGTATTACAACTAAGTAGACGCAGTGATTATTGTATCGATTAATCGTTTACGAATAATTACACACATGTATTGCTTTTGTCTTGCTTGAGTTTTATCTTTTTTTTTATACGCAGCAGAAAATATCTACCTATTTTTAGAATTTATTTATTGTCATCTTTCTCTCTCTTTCTCTTTCCGCCATATTCTATAGATTTAATACAAATTGCACGTAGGGCGATCTACATTGTTAGCGGGAGGTCGAGGACGTAGTCGATTTGTACGTCGCGCACGTACACCTTTCATATTTTCTCCCTCTCGATATATTGGGCGTATATACATACATATATACATAAATGCGAAAATGCAATTTCGAAGTTGTTTGGGAATTCCTTCTGGGGATACACCTCCTAGCGATCGACTTATACGATGCAGAGAGCCGTGCTGGTAGTTTGTGTTGAGACTAAATAGCATTTTTCACTCTCATTAAGTAGGCATATCCACACATACACACTCACACTCCCACATATATACGTACACGCACTTAGGTACATACACATATACACACACCGAGAAAAAAAAAAGGAAAGAAAACGCATGACACTCTCTATATACACATTTAACGAGACAAAAAGTGGATAATGGATTAACGGTATTCTAAATGTAACATGTATATGATGGCTGTACAAATGTAACATTTTTTTCCATTATGTATGATGATAATGATAATGATGAAAAAAAGGGAAGATTTGACGCAAAAAGAAAATGTAATTGAACAAAGAAAAAGGAAGATAGAAAAGAAACCGTGTGTGCGCGTCGATTGATGTGAACGCCGACGTCTCGAAAGCGATAAAGTCAATCCGTCGGCGCACCCGCGCGAGTGATTTACCAATAAAACTACTATTACTTTTAATTATTATGAAATACCATTTCTGTAATAACATTATGATATAAAACCATACATTGAATGGCAAATATATATGTGTGCTTCATTTCCATTTCCTGTGATTTCATGATGTTGTCCAAAATTTTCAGAGTCGATCTACACGATCTATAAATGTAAAGGTAGAATTTAAAGAACAATTATACAGTGTGCAATTATAAAATACACGTCAGTATATGACGCTATATACAAATAATTAGTTTATCATTATTTTAAATTCATAAAATTTAATGGGAGATTTTATATAGCAGAATAATGTAGAAATTATTTTTTTGGTAGATATTTTTTAATATTGAAATCTTATACAAAATTTCTACTTGCTTGTTTTTATTGTACCGTTGCAAAATTTCCAATTTTAATTTGTGGTACAAAATTGGGAAGAAATAGGATCGTGAAACTAAAGAAGCGAAATAAGATGAAATGCATGCGATAGAGTATTGCCTTAAATATTATAAATGCAGACAGTTTGACGATAATAAATATTCTAGTAATTTGTAAGATTTCTTTATTAAGTATATAGCAAGTGTTTGTTTAGACATGTGAACAATGATGAGAAACGACTGTTGTTAACGCAAAATATTACGTCTTTAAATATTGGTTTGCATGATAAATTTTTCTTACAGTTGGGAAAATTGAGTATTGATACAATATTATTGCAAGTTGTGGTTAATGAAACATATGTAATATCTCAAACACCAGTTTTCCATAAGAAAAATAGGTCTGTTCAAATGTAATGAATTTCCATGTATAAAACACGCATTTATGTTAATTGTCTTGTACGCACGTTTTTCCTAATAATAATAATAACATTTTATTGGTAATGTAAATATGTAAAGATCTATATCTATTATTTGTGTTAAACTTGCCATATATGTATACTGAACAGTTAATTACATTTCGTATAAAAACTATGACAATATCTTACGAGTATTTAACACAATATAATAATTTAGCTTTTCTTATTGTTTATTTAATTTGTTTTCAACGCACATGTATGTCAAATAAAATATACCGTAGAAAATATATTTCAAATTTCAATAAAAACGTTAAAATAAATAACATTTCAAATATAATTTTAAAATTGTAAATGAATGAATGCACAAAATGCAATATTGTAAATAATTGGATCGTATTTACCTGTCGTCTTATTCGTTTGTATTTTAATAATTTTGGCTCACTCTAACTTTTCCATAAAAAATTTATTGTTAAAACAGAGCAATAAGAATTTATTTCTATTTATTTATTCTCCAAATTGGCTAACATATAAAAAATTTGTAAAATTTGTTTTTTTTCTATTTTTTCTATTTCTTTCTATCATATTTCTGTTCACATCTTCCTCTTTCAATCAGTTCTTACTTTACTTCTATACACAATGCGATACATAAATTTACATTATTAGCACAAATTCGTAACTTATATACAGTATGCATCTTCCTTGAAATTGCATAAACATTACACAAAGTCTTTGTTTATAATTTATAACATTTGATTCTTCAAACGAACTACTTATACAACTTTTTAGTTTGCTTTTTCAATTTTTAACGTGATGGCAGTATAACTGCAAATCACAGTAGAAACATGAATCAAAAGTTTTCTTATTCATTTTATAAATTTAACGATCTATGTTTTGATTAGCATAGAATATGAAATTTATTTTCTTAAGGCCCTCAATCACTATCCTCTGTATTTCGTGGAGCGCGAGTTAGTGGTCGCCGGCTGTCCTCATCCGACCCATATATTACTTCCTCCTCCGAATCATTGAACATCGAGAACGCAGGGCTATCTTTCGTTATCGATGAGTCTGCAATATGTCACAAAGAAATTAATTCTAAACACAAATAAGAGAATAATTATTTCATATGTTTGAATTAACAATTTTTTATAGAGTTATGTAAGAAGTAAGAGAAACTAAAAGAGGGAGTCAACGATACTTATAAAATTTTTTTATATATATAAACAGTAGAACAATAGAAAATATTACAAGTATTTTTTTTCATGTATAACATTAATGGCACAGGAAAAAATCTGCCTTCGTATTTCTTTCGAATAAATAAATATTATGTAAGAAATTTTTTTTACTTTTTACTTCTGACTTTACTATCTTTTTATATTTTATAATATTTTGGTTTTTAAGGTCATCGCTGTTAATGAGTAAATGTTCTACCAAAGATTATGGAGCATAATGTTTTTTTTCCCAAAATATAATACACTCACGTTGTCCATAGACCTGTTGAAGTGCAGGTGCATAAACATATGCCATGGTGTATAAATAAAAATTAAGAAGACCATAAAGAGCCATGAACTGCGCGGAAGTACGGTAATAAGTGGAAAGGCGAGAAGCAAAGCTGTCCTCCAATACACCGGCTCCAAACTGACGTGCGGTAACCAAACTGCAAACGCCGGCGACCACCGCGGCAAGCAGCGTTAAAAATCGCAGGCGTAAATCTGCAAAATAAATCATTTATCAACATAATGTTATTGTAAATTTTCGCTCGAAGATGTAATAGTCTAAAATTTACGAAGAGAAGGAAGAGCACGTATAACTTTCTGCTTTGTTGAGATAAATAAAGAGGCCGATAGAGATGATGTTTTGTTATAAGATTTTTTTGACAAAAAGATTATCTGCCGCTAGCTCAGTTTTTAATATTTTTTTATATATCTTGTATATAAGTTGTTCACTTATAATAAATTAATTTTAATTGAAAAGATATATAAGACTGTACGAAATATTTTTATTAAATAATGGCTTTACCACGAGGTAAAAAATATATTTACCAAAGTATGGCATAGATCGTAGTTCGCTGTACGCTCTTAATATAAGAAGCAACAGATACGCGATGTAGAAACCACCCACCGTGAAGAAGAATACCTTGAAACCCTGGAAACAGATGTCTATGTGTTAACAAGTACAGATTTAATACATCTCTCATATATCGTTTTTATTATAAGTGACTGCATATCGATCGTTTCTCTATCGCGATCTTTTGCCGACTCTTCTTCGGTGGAGACTGGTTTCGATCTCTATACCACTTTCGATACCTACGATACCAAATAAAGATTGAGAACTGGTAATCTTCAAGTACAACACAAGAAGTGACAGTAGCTGTTGAGAAATTATCTATATCAGTATCGGGTTGCGATCGAGCAGGTGCGTGCAGATGAAAAAGAAGAGAGTTGGAAACGTGCGGAAACAATAGGCATTCTACACAGCTACAGTCCAAAATCTTTGGTTTACTGATCTGTGAACATGAGACAATTTGGTTAGTACTAATGATTCAACTCTCTCAATCTTTCCATTGAAGAAACATTGTGTACAAGTAAATAGGAACACATTCTGATCGATTAAAGTTATAATCTTGACAAGAGTTAATGGAAGGAACTTTCCCTGTTTTGTCACGAATGCAAGATGATTGAAAGATTTACACAATATTTTAAACTTATTTTAGACAAGTGTAAAAAATTGACGAGAAAAACTAATTGTCATGCACGTTTGTTGATAAGTATACATAGAGTCCCCTATCATGAGATAGACTTCTAACACGAGATGGTAGGCTTTCGGTATTCAAATTCAATCACAAATCTTTTTTCGCGACGTTTACACGATCCAACAATGAATTTTCCATGAAACACATTTCACTCCAAGGGAAATAAATTCATGATAGAACCAACAGATGATGCCTATTTTAGCAAAAACCCTGCTAACTCTTATTAGGAGCTTGTCCCATAATACTGTCCTCTATATATTATATTTCTCTCTATATACTATATTTTCTTTCTTCCTCTGCAGAGAAGTACAAAAAGATATTCAAGTAAAATAGCGAGATGTTTTATAATTATTGTAATTATTCCAAATTCTTTTTGCAAAATGAAGAGCTTATATTGTTTCATTAACGAAATGAATCAATTCTATCAACATCCCCTAACAAACAGCTGTTTACTCGATTAGCGATCGGCATTATTATACTACAAGCTTCGCTGAGGATCAGTGGGTTGTACACGATCATCGAATGCCCGATGGAACTACGGAAAGACATCGTAAAATACAGCGAGTCATTGCAAGTAGGCTGTACAATGCAGCTCTTATGTCCGCCGGAGGATCTGGCGAATTATGAGAACCGCGATCTGGGTTACCAAGTACACGAGTACGATCCCGACGCCAGGACGATGTGCGAAGTGAAACTCAAGATCAACATTGTGAGAAATCTGAGCGCAATTGAGACCGAAGAGGGAAACCCGTGTGCCGAACTCGCGCACCACGAACATTCGGTATTGCTGCCTCATTTGACTAACTGTAGTTTGGTAAGTTTCTTCGCGGAAAAGAAGACACAAGCAAATTGTAAGGAACCGATAAGTGAATAAATTTATCACTTTCAATTATACTAATTATCGATGTTTGGACATTTTCTGCCAGTTTAGTTCGTTTTTCCTTCTTGATCGTACGAAAACCTGTCGGTGATACTCCGAGTATTAGATTTGCTCATACGTAAGAAACATAATTTCAGTTCTACAAATGCGACTGGGGCGTGCCGATACTCTTCGAGTGTCCGGAGGAATTGCACTTCAATCCCATTCTCCAGGTGTGCGATTGGCAGGCTGGTTGCGATTCGCCCTGGATCGGCTGCCCACGGTCATTTCCGCAATGCCCGATTCAATATCCAGGACCGCTGTTACTACCGCATCCCTTTTTGTGCGATCGCTTCTATCAGTGCAATTGGGGAACGCCTCAGTTACAAGTGTGTCCCACCGGACTTTATTTCAACTCACATCTCAAGGTGTGCGACTGGCCTTATAATTCGAACTGTCGAAGTTGCTGAGATTATGACGAAAAACGTGGCGCGCGTTGTATACATTCATTTTAATTTTAACTCTTAAAATTTTGAAAACGTAAAAGATTTTGACTACATTTTTTTAGAAACTAATAGTGTTAGAAACTAATAAATTAGAAACTAAACAGTCTTAAAATAACTTTCGTAAAACTAACATTCTTTGTAGTCTAGAAATGAATGAACATTTTATTGTAATAATTTGTATTAAAAAGCACAAGTTCTCAACTTACGTAGTAATTTGATGTATCAAGAACATAATTATAAGTGGGGTCCTCCAGTTCGGTGCAACGGAGCCATGTGGCAAGAGTTAATGCCGCACCCCATAACATACCCACCACTAGGAGCTTGGGTAGATAAAACGTAATAAGCCGTCTCTCGTTCTGAATAAAATAAACTAACCGTCAATCCAAATGTGTGTGATCGATAGAATATAATATGTTATAAAAAGTATTATAATAATTATAATAAAATACGTAATTATTTTATTTTTATTGTTTATAACATATGCAGTAAGCAAAAACATAATAATAAACAACATAATAATAAAACTTTAAACATACAATATATATTAAAACTAATTTATGTAAAAAGAAATTTAATGTGATAGGATGAGAGAGAATGATAGCGATTGAAAGTGTTAATGTTTCTTAGATTTTGCTGATACCAGTACCTGTCTAAGTCCATGATAGACACAGAGCCAGAACATGAGGATTGCACATAGAAAAGTCGTTTGTAGAATTGCATCCAGCATACCAGGTACCCAGGAGTTTATTAAAAAGGTCATAGGGAACAGCGGATCTGTTCAATGAAATAAACTCATCAAAATCACGAAAATGCATGTTGGTGATAAACGTCGAAAACTTTCTCGAAAACTTACTATTGTACAAAATCAGTAATGGAAGTAGTATAGAGATCCACTTTTGCTCTATCGACCAATCGTGCAGCGGATACTTTCTAAGCGAATGACCGAACCAGCACTGAAAGCGGTACAATTTTCCTTTCGGTTTATAGAACAAGCTTTAAATATCCACGGAAAAAAATAAGCCGAATTAAAAAGCAATCGACGTTTCGTTTTGCAAAGTTGGAAGTTTCTGATTATCGAGATCAGAGATTAGCTAAATAAACTTCTCTTTTGATTATTAATTAAAATTCGTAATTCATAAAAAGTGTATATGAGAAATACCAGCATGGAAATACTTGTATTATATTATTTTTTGTCTTAATAAATGTGAATAAAAATTTATAGTATACGTCGACTTATTTTAATCCGTCTATTTTTTTACGCGTTGTCATTTTAACAGCCATGAATTACCATAACTCCGAATGTGGTTAATAAGAAGATTAGTCGAAACCAGATTTCGATCTGCGTGAACGCCGGATTGTAGTTTTTAAACTGTGAACAGAAAAAAATAGGAGAAACGTAAAGAAAAAACTGAGGTACTCAAGTCTCGGAATTGTCGTATCCAAACGAGTGTGGTTATTTCATGCAGTGCTTACTGACGTAGAATGTGAGTTCTCGTATAATGTATCGCTGATGGAAGCTCTCAAGTCCATGGAAGCGGACAGTGATTATATAATAGCTATAATCAAGGAATCCAAGGTGGGCGACGACCAGTTCCTCGCAGGATTGCCTTTCGCACTTTAAGTGCCTGGTTCTGAAAAATAACAATGGTCATTATTATTTTCATACATTATTACTCGATTACGAGAGATTAATCTGTATTGATTTACGCAGTTCACTCAACAATGTGAGATAAGCTCCAATTCTCTTAACATTTTTCATTCATCGTGTGTCATTCATTGCTGAAGCAATAGATGTATCAAAATAAACGATGTTTTTATAGAAGTAATTTCGTTAATGTCGTTTTAACTTTAATTATCGAGAGAACGTAAGAGCATTTTTATGGCATTTTTACCGATTATGTCCAGCTTCTAGTGGTAGTACAGACATGAGCTTGCGATCAGCAGTGATACCGTCTATGGAAACACTGACTTGAAATCCTTTGTCATATCTCTCATCTACAAATCATCATCCATAATTATATTAATATTCGAAAATAACAAAGCTGTGAAATATATTGAAAAATAGGGTAATTGTGCAGAATATTGACGTTCCAGCAGGAGTCGCGATTTTCTTGTGGCAATCAACAAAACGACCCACAAAAATATATGTACGCAAAGTTTTAATAGGTGCTTCAAGTTGTACAAAAAATTTATGTTTATTATTTATTCAATACTACTCTTGTAGTTGGAAAGAAACGTTGACGAAGAATAAAAGTAATTTATGAACACGTTCACAATGATCCGGAAAATTAGAGCGCGCAATTCTGCGCGTTTACCAAAAACACATTATATAATCTCTAAAATAAATTGAAATACAAAAGATATATCTGGACTTTTGTTGTCGCAGTTGCCATGAAGACAAACGCTTTGTTAAAAAATTAAAAAACTTGGGAGGATTATTTTCTAATCGGCACCAAAATCGATCATCGTAGTATTTACATAAAGAAAAATAAATGTTGAATAATATTATTCTATTCCCTACCAAACCTTACATCTCATAAACGCTTCTCGCTATTAGGTCAATAAGAAATCATATGTTACCGTCGTTATTCGAAGTTGATAGCTTGGCAATCACCCATAATTGTTGGCTGTACGTAGACAACAGAGGTGTCTTCATGATGAATGGCCCAGTAGCCATCTCACTTCCGTTTAAATGCGCTTTCTGCTCGCTGGTTGACGTTATAGGCGGTCCTTTAAAAGCGTTAATGTAACTGTATCTTTAAATATGTTTGACGAGGTTAATAGCAGTGATGTCGATATTAGAATTTTTTTTTGTAATGGAACTGATTATACTCACCGGCCAGGCCAATAAAAACTGCTAATCCGAAACATGCGAAAAAAGCAACAAACACCATGACAAATTCCCTCTTGTGCATCGAGTATAAGCGCATCTGCACAGATCTATATGGTAAATATATGAGAGTTTAAATTAATAGCAGACACACACACACACACACACACACATATATACGAATTTCTTATAAAAATAAATGAAGAACCGCTTCCTTAAGAAAGTAATAACAATATTTGATCTAATGTGAAAGATAATTTAATTCTCTACAACTCATAACAGAGGACTTTCCTCTACAAATGTCATGAATATTATGTCAGATTAATTGAAAGAAGTCCGTTGGCTCTTATTCTATAACTCTTATGTATTCATTTATCAGTAAAAGAAAAAAAGGAACGAACTAGAATTGAGACGTCAGATGATTTTAACAAATTATTTAATGAAACTGCAATAGATTTTACGTCTATTGCGGCTTTTCATTATCCCGTCTCGGTTCTTTGCGCGATTTTTCCAAGAGATCATGGCACGTACCTTTCGCAACGGTCATGATGATAAGCTGGAGCGATGTACTTGTTAAATTCGCTAAAGAGATCACTGAACTGTGACAATGCATTCCTGACCTTGAGATTCCAACCGGCGGATGGGAGATGATACGAGTACCCTAATCCGGGCCCGTCCATCATCTTCAGGAGTGCCTCTTTTTGAACCCTAAAGTCCCAGTTGTGCGATATACGTATATATATTTTTATTACACAGTAAAAAAAGTTTCCTTTCAATTTTTTTTACAAAATTTCTGCGGAACCTGCCAAACGTACACAAATTAAACGTCTCGTAAGAAAATGCGGCATGAAATTTCACAAAATTATTCCTCGATGTTGATGAAACGTATATTGTACTTCGAGAATGGGTCGCCAAAACATTTTAAAAAAAGAAGAAAAATACGAGAGATTTTTATGCACACACGCGTGAAAAAGATCGTAGAGTTTCCGTTTTGCGTAAGAGATGTTTATATCGAGAACACTTTAATACCAATACGTATACTGTATGGTCCGGTCGCCCGAGTGAATAAAATATCTTTTACCTCCAATGTTCTTCGTCCAATGTAAAAGTACGAGGGATAAATTTTACTTGATCAAAGGTCGACTCGGACTATACGACACGGGCCGGCACCGGCAGGACGAAATATTAAAACGTACGTTTTAAATGAGACCGTCTACACTAACGCTTCGTCAACGGAGCGTCGGACCGTGCCGTGTAGCCCTGAATCGACCCTTTATTTGCGCAATGTTTCAAAATTAAAGAAAGAAAACGAGAACCAATTTAACAGAGAGGGATGTTACGCTCCAACGATTTTGATGCGCGGACTAGCCGCCGTTTAAAAATCGACACCGCGTTTTATCGGCACTTCAGCCATCGAAGCAGCTGGACTGGCGGTCGCGACGATACTCTGCGTGAACGCTTCAGACTTGCGACGTGCACGTATACGACTGCACACGTTACGTGTAAACAGAAAACCCACCTTCCACTTTATTGCGTGGTGATGCACGCTCTCTCTATCTGTCGTCTTGATGAATTCTTGCCGCTCGCATAACGCTCGGGCGCGACGAGGAATTTCATGGGCAGGGTGGCGTGTAATGGCACGGGCGAGGGATTCCCCGTTCCGTTCGGCGTAATTTTCCCCAATTTTCCGGGGGCCCCAAGGTGTGCGAGAGCGGCGGAGCGCACGGGCGTACGGTGTACACTGACGTGCGCGTTATTGATTTTTCACGCCACGCCGTATCCCCGCGGAGCAGGGTTGCTAACTCATCGGCATCGGGGGTGGGTTGGAGAGAAGCGGTACGTTAAATAATGGTAGGTATATTCCGCGTGCCGCCAGATAACGGGATTCAATGGTATTAAATGGCGCGCTACATACCGTCGCAATTGTACAGTGTTGTACAGCAATGACGGGCGTTCTGATGAGCGATCCAACTTGATTACATGGCGCGTACTAACTGATGATGCACGTTCAAGTTTGACTAAGGTATTGTACTGCTAAGAAAGATTTTCTTTAGTCAAAGTGAGTAATTAATTAAGTAATTTGGTGCGCGTATGCGTGCGTGAGTCTGTAACATGAGAGCATACATTATCATTGACAATCAATATCGAGAAAGGCAGGATTTGTCACTAATGTTTATTATTTACAAATATATTGTACAAAGTATCTTTTGTTAGCAAGAATGCAGGGCTGTGGCTTGTGGCTGGTTTTGGTAACGTTTTAGTCCCAATATTTGATCTTGCCGTCCCAGCCAGCAGTGGCTAGTCTAGAAGGCTCGTGAGGATGCCACAATACGTCAATGCACACTCCGTCGTGCGCCTTCCATTTTTTGTACAGCTTGGTTGTCTTCCAGTCCCATATGTAGCATTTACCGTCCGCATCGCCCGACACCAAGTAACTGAAATAAGAACAGATGTAATGCTTGAAACAAAAAATTTCCTACAATACAATCATTTCCTATAAAAATTATATCAGATTTGAAAAACGGGGGGTTGCCACGATTTCAATTTCGCAAATGAATTGTATTGATTCTAATTCGAATTCCAAGTTTGGCTTTCGAGCTAGGCGTACGTTCCTTTCGTGTAATAAAGTCTATCGAGGCCTGACAATTTAGTTTTTCTTTCTATTACCTCATATCTGGTGAGAAGTCCAAACCGCACGCATATCCTGCGACCATATGTCCCGTGAATGTCTTCTTCCGGTTCATTTTGAATCTATTCAATGCCGAAAATATAACAATTTTGTTATCCATGCTTTGGCAAGCAAGCCACTTCTGATTTCGTGACGGCGTCACCGCCGGCATAGAATGCATGGATGGATCAGCTATGTATTTCATATCCACAGGAATGTCCCTGTATATTAAAAAAAAAAAGAATTTATCCTCAATAACAGATAAATCTCACACTTCTCTGAGAGTACACCTTTAAGAGAATTAATAGATTTATACCATTCCCAAACCCGGAGGCTTTTATCGTCGCTGGTTGTGACAAATCGTCTATTTTCGTCGACGAACGTAATGGTATTTACAGCGCCCAAGTGTCTATCGTATTCCTGTGTTATTTCACCAGAACGTATATCCCACTGTATAACAAAATATTAAATTACTAATATTTAACTAAAGAAATCATTATTAAATTATATGTCACTTTTACGCGTATACTGGTGTACGTTTATTATCAATAATAAACGAGATCACTTTTGCGCGTCCACATCAAGATCTTAAATCTCATCGTTACTCTTCAACAAGTAGATAAATATTTTTACTCACGCAAATGATCTTCTTATCGCTGGTACCAGCGACAAAGAGATGCTGTTTATCCGGATCGGGATTAAATTTAGCACAATATGGGATTTTTCTACTCGTAAAGCGACTGATACAGGCTCCCGTTTCTGTATCCCAGAGTTTCACGTAACGATCGTAGGCCGCTGACAAAAATCGCTTGCCGTCGTTGTCGAAACTTATATCCCGTACTGCTTGTCGATGTCCATAGTATGTACGAACGCATCTCCTGTCTTTGTACACTTCCCACAACTGTTCACAATAGCATAATATGGTAAGTATGGTACAATAGTAGCTGCACGAGCAATACATAAATTAATTACAGACGAAATTAAAATAACCATCATCGTCGAGTACCTTCACACGACAATCCATACTACAGGACAGTAATAAGTGCGCTGTATGTGGGAACCATCGGATTTGCGAGATGCCTTTCGTGTGACCTTCCCACGTGTGAATTTGCGCCTTCGGTAAGAAGCAACGATCGGGTGGCGATTCCGATCTGAGGTTCACGCCTACGTCCTGAGGCGCGTGCAGGAATGAACGGCCCTGATAATCCACACTGTCTTTGACTGCGATACAAAATTATTAAATATAATAAATAAATTGCAAATCGATATCAAGAATTTGTACGTTAATAAATTTACGTCTTGGAAAGCTCAAAGTCTGAAAACTGTTCTACATAAAAGAACAATCTTGCAACTAATGGATGCATTGATAATATATTTAGGAACATTACTGTGCAATATGGTCTTCTCCTCGAGCGGTTTCTCCTCCGTTTGTTTTCCTCGTTTATTCCGTTTGGCCAAGATTTCTTCCAGCTCAGCAGCTTCCTCTTCACTAGGCTTGATCGTTCGTTTTTCGTCAATATAACCTCCCCAGGGACCCAAAAAACCTTCTATATCCGCTGGATCATTGTTTCTATTCCTCTTTCGTTTATCCGAGGGTCTCAGGACAGTGTTTTCAAAGACAGTCTTGCCGCCCGATTCTTCCGCCACTTCTGTTGCGCCGATCATGATTCTGCCTTCGTTTGTACTACCGTCTACAGTCGGATCTAGTGCATACCCTGATGACAAAAATCTTCAAGCGTTAATTGCAATTTAGATATTAAATAAACTTATTTGACTTAAGCTTAAATATCCCGGATCTTCAGATATAAATAAGCATTCAATTGAATTACTGGTGTAAAGATACAAGGTTAAAAATGGTTTCAGATTTTAACTAGTAGAAGAACATTAATCAACTACACATCAAACATAAATGTTGCATTGTGCGTACCATAACTGGCAAACGTTCTCCTTTGATTCTCAAATTGAAATTCACTTATATGCGCGCTCTCCACATATCCAGACAGTATATTTTTGGCGGCGCGCTGCTGCTGCGTCTTGAAGGGATTTTCCGGACCCACCTCGGGTCCAAAGAGCTCCTCATACTTCGGATTGTATGCAACTTCCGTTGCAGTTGAATCTATGTGTTTCACACACAATTCTGTTCCCTAATAATCATCGAGCGAGCGTTAATTTCGTTTGCGTCAAACGGAACACTTGTAAAGTGGCAACGGGATTTGCAAAGGCACAAAGGTCCACCCTGACCGTACAACGCACAATTATATCGTAATTTTTCGTATTAGCCAAGTATTAGTTTCTCGTATTGGTAGAGTTTACTTCTCGTTTGAAACCGCGGGATTATTCATAACCTCAAAACTGGCGATTGAAAACAGATAACCTAGCGGCTCAACGGCGTCGCCGTAGAGGGGGGACCTTGAGTAAAAATTGAAGACGGGCTGAACGCACGTGAATACTCACAGTGGGCACGACTTCTGGAGCCGAGCAAATCTGGAGAGCGCTCGTAAATTTGTCACCGGCAGACACGGACGCGAAGTCCAAGTTTTTCGTCTCGCTATCTTCATCGCTGCTACCGTAGTCCTTTAGTGCAAGCATAGTTTCATATATCGATATTTGATCTAAAAATTATCTCCTTTATCACCTAAATATTATCTATTTTCTTTATCAATTGTTTAAAATCTCTTTCTGTACTTTCTATGCGAAATCACATTCTCTCTCCATCAATTCTTTCACATGAGATTACAAGCAGTGACGCAAACCTCCGAGCCGCCATCGGGTGGTACACTAGCTACACCGTCAGCTACACCGCCTGCACCATGATGATGCTCACGCGCACATAAACGCAAGCCGTGTCCATATACGAGTACTTTCCCCTAGAGCGAAAAGATGAGAAGTTTCACACAAATGTAATAATTTCATTGGTTGAAATGGCTGCGTTCAGCAGAAAAAGCTACTTTGCAACTGTTGTAAAATTCGTGAATCTGATTGGCGTATGCTCTTAAATGATCAAGATTAAGAGAATACGCCAATCAGATTCACGAATGTTACAACAGTTGCAAAGCAGCTTTTTCTGCTAAACGGATTTCTTAATATGATTGGCTGGAGCTAAAAGTATTAACCTATGGCCGCACTCAGCAGACACTACTCTTGAGTGAGCGCTCAGTATTACCTAGTTAAAAATTTAGAATGTTATTATACATTAACTTAAATTAAAGTTTCAAGGCTGTTAACTTAATTTTAAAAAAGATAACTTATTCAACCCTATTAAAAATAAAGTGAATAGCTTTGTCTCTTTCTAACCGTCCCCTTAGAAAGAGACAAAGCCGCTCACTTTTAGCATTTTCACTACATTGTAAGATACAGAATTGACATCCAGAATCTATTCATATACTGTGTCGAATAAATTCAAGAATCGACCCCCCCCCCCCCCAGCTGTAATGAACTGACTTCATGTTCGAAGTGAGCAAAATTGTGAGGGCGGCCATCTTGTCCCGGCGCGCGTCTAAACTTTTAAAAGCCACGTGACGCGCTCGAGAGCGAGACTGCATCCGGAGCCTCCAGAAATTTTCTCTTTCTCGCGCCCGGCGACATTTCGGCGCACGCTGGCCATCTTGACTCGAATTCGCGGATAATTCGCGACGCGCGACCTCCGGAGTCGAGTGAATCGCGCGGGACAGCTGGAAATCGGATCGCTGGGAGAAAAAAAGGGTCGGGCGAGGCGGGAGGAGACGAAGAGAAGCGGAGGCCGGGGATCGTCCCGAAGGAACCGCATCCCGTGACGCGCCGTTTCGTTACTGAAAATCCACGGTGTTTATCAGCGAGCCCGTGCGAGCCGACGATTTACAGCACGCGCAGCGCGAGCTACGGAGATTTTCGATACCGGCTGACACGCAATTCGGAACGCACCGCAGACGCCCAATTCGAGGACATCCAATGGAAGAACAGGGTGAGGAGAGGAGGAAGTCCTCGTGATCGTCGCGACTCGGCAGTTATCGGTGAGTCGGTTATCAATTGGCGAGATCGATTCTCGATTGTCCAAGGGGGGGGGGGAAACGATCGCTCGTGCGGAGCACCGCGTCGAGGGTACACGTACGTAATTCCGCTGTTCTTCGGCGTCGACGTAGCGTCACCGTTTTGGCCTCCGAGGAGAGCAGGAGACTCGCACAGGAGACGCCGGCAGAAGTGCGAAGTCGGCGGCGGCGATCGCGCGCGATTTCCGGCTGTGAGCGGAGCGAGGGGAAGTGCGCGCTCGCTCCTCGTGGTCGGGTCTCTGCCTGAATTTCCGCAGCCAGATCCCCCGCTACCGCGACGGCAGTCGTGCACGCGGTCGGGCCAGCGAGACCAGCAACAGTTAGCAGCGGCGGCGAGCCAGGCGGTCGTGAGAGCAGTCGGAGGCAAATGGCACCGCGCAGGCAGGCGAAGCAACCGGCGGTGGAGAGCGTCGTGGTAGCCGCTGCCGACGGCAATGTGACGCCGCCGAAGAAGAGGAAAACCGCGGCAAAGCCGGCGGCCGCGTCTGCAGACGAGCCGAGGTCGGCTAAGGGCAGGGGCCGGCAGGCGAAGGCGGGGGAGGTGGCCGCGGTGGCTAGCGGGTCCACGTTTTCGCCAAAGAAGTTGCGCAGCAGGGTGAAAGCTGCCCCCAGCGCTGCCACTGCCGTTGCCCCCAGCGCGGCCACTGCCGCTGCCTCAAAGACTCGTGGCGGCAAGACCGCGGCGACTGCGAAAAAGGCGGGAACCAAGACCGCCGCGGCAAAGCCGAAGGCCAAGTCGCCGGTTGCCAGGAGGCAAAAGACCCGGGACGAGGTCGGCGCCGGGGATTCTGCCGGCAAGAAGAGCACTGCCAAGAGCCCCGCGAAGAAGAAGACGACGACTCGTCGTAAGAAAGCGGCCGAGGAGAGCGACGCGCCGACACTGCCCGCCGCGAAGACACCTAGAAAACGGAAGAATGTAGAGAACGCGGGCGAAGCCGCTGCAGAGGCGCAGGCCGCCAAGGAGGAGGGGCTCGCCAGCAAGAAACCACGCGGCCAGCCAAAAGCTGATAGTGCGAGTAAGTCCTTGTTGTTATTTCCATTTTGCTAGATTTACGGGAATGCCCTGGTCGACTGCAGATTGACTGAAGGCAAGAATGAGAGTATTTTTATTTTAGATTTCTAGTAAATTGTCCACCAAATTCCCCAATTCCGATGATATTTTCTCAGGGAATCTGTGTGGGGCTTTTACGTAGGCGTCTTGCGTAACTTGGATTCGTACAAAGTAATTTGCGGAACGTACTAATTTGTGTGTTGAAGTTTTTATCATTAAGGTTCATTGAACCAGCTTTGACGGCTGAATCTGAAAAGTTGGCAGTGTTCTGACGCCGTTTCCATCGCGTATTCGTTTTAATAAAATAAACTACACATTATTACACAGGTTAGCATAAATTTACTATGAAAATGTTAACGTTAAACTTCAAGCTCTTTATTATGAAAGGTGTGAGAGGCTAATCTCGCGATATTAGGTAATTGAGCTTTTGGCTCGTATTTTTATTAGACTTTCGCATCAAAAATAAGTGTTTTTAAAGCTCTTTATAGCTACTGAATCTATGAATTCATTTGCCGTGGTTTTCAGGCACTTTATGAGGGGGTTATAAAAAGATGTACAAACGTCTAAAGTAGAGGATGCTATTGTAATCTGCAGATTAGAGCTTTAAATATGCAGATGAGACTAGTGAAGAAGAGCTGGAAAAAATAATAGGTAGTGATGTAATAATTAAAAAGGCCTATGAAGAGCTAAATAGATTCAACTGGTCAGAAAAAGAATTTATTGCCTATGAACAGGAAATAAAACGTATTCTTGATGAACAGGCTGTCCTCGCTCAAAAACTTGATGATGCTACTGAAAAAGGCAGACAAGCAGAGAAAGTTGAGGTGGCAAAGAATTCACTTAAGGCCGGCATGCCTATAGATGTTATCACTGAAATTACCGGCCTTTCCCATGATGAAATTCAGAGGTTAAGAAATTAGCATTATCTATACCATATAACATCTCCTTTTTTTACTTTAACTTTTAATCCCATCCGTTCAGCTTCATCTTTGCTAATACGCATTGAGTCCTTTGGCATTCTACTATATTTATATGTATTAAACAAGACTTGATCTGCCACTTTAAAAAAGTATGTGACATTCTGTTATAGCCACGACGATGCCCAAGAGGAGACCTAAGAAAACTCCTGCGAAAGAGGTTCCCGAACCACCGCTGGAGGAGGCAAAGATCAAAAAACGAAGTAAGGAGCAAGGTGCAGCTGTACAAGAAACCAATTCAAAAGCCAAGACTGCAAAGAAGGGAAGTGCAAGAAAGGCTGCTCCCAGGGGGAAAAATGCTGTTGCAGAAAAGATCGACGAGGCAGAAGAGGCGGCAACATCTGAAGTCGACATCAGACAGAATGGAGAGGCACAGGAGGTGGAGCCTAAACAAAAAAAGCGAAATGCGGGGAGAGTGAATGCGGCGATGAACGGAAAGGTCGAGGCGAAGAAGGAGGAACAGTTGAAGGGTCAAGTGGCTGCTGCGCCTGTTGAGGAGAAAGATGCGTCGAACGATGTAATCGCTGAGAATGAAGAGAATGAAGAGAAAGAAATGAATGCGGCGCCAGAAATAGACGAGAATGGCACGAAGGTTGATAGTGCCTCGGTACTCTCGCCGGACGAAAACAAAACAAACGAGGTCGATACTAGTGTTGACTTGATCAAAGATGAGTCTGACACATCAACAGAAGTGGAAAGGGCGGGGAATTACCTGTGCTTTTAAAAAAAACTACAGAACTTGTTGAGGGATAGAACGTATATGGGCTTGTAATAAGCGTAATATGAAAATGTTACCGGAAAATACGTTTCGAGCAAAATATATTTTTTTAAAGATGTCTTATCAAGGTCGTTTAAATATTAGATTTTCAGCTATGTATCGATAACGTGTAGTGCCATAAGAAATATAAGATTATAGGCGAAATTTGATAGGATTTGTGTGAATGTTTCGATTCCTACGTGGGCAGCACTGCTAAAGTTTACACGAAATAAAATTTATTACACAAATAATATATATATAAGAATAATAATATTAATTGTGATTAATATAAGATTGTTAGCGAGCAAAATTTCGAGTATCTTGGATGAAAAACACAGGCCTATCGAGATGAACATCTTCCTGCTGCTGCTCTTGTAGGAGTTGAATAAGTTACATATTTTTCTAAGGGATAACAAACAATACTTATAACATATATACATTGTTTCCGTTTCTCTAGTCCTATAGTTTTATTTGCAACACATTTATTCTTATTAGTAACGGTTACTTACAACTTTTAACAAGAAAACCTTGCAGCTTCGAACTTTAATAAAACGGGGAAACTTTTTGTACATAATTCCGGATAAATTCTGGCCTTTCGCGTTTTGTACAACTAAATATTACGGCATTACAAGCGTTTTATTTAACGACCATTTGTGTGTGTGTGCGTGCGTGCGTGCGTGCGTGCGTGTGCGTGTGCGTGTCAGTATGTACAACGTATTTACTTCCAGTCCGGCGAGACGGTTAATAATATGCGTGTATTTCTAATGTTATTTCCCCACATTGTATTGCTATTCTCCACTAGACATATTTTCTTTTATGTTTAATAAATTGATCTTGTGTTTATATATGTTCCTTTTGATAAGCTCGCAGTTGTCAATATTTATTTGTAATAAAAAGACTGTGAAAGGATCTCCGTGTTCAATCTTCGTCTTTTCCCGCCTCCGTGACTTCCGTGGACAATCACGTGACTAGACGTTCAGCCGCAACGGACGAGCTCTTGAGTAATATGGCGCTGCTTCTCCAGGGCTGCTTTTGCGAGAAAATCAAAATGAAAGGGCAATGGCCGGCAGGCGAAGGCGGGGTAGGTGGCCGCGGTGGCTAGCGGGTCCACGTTTTCGCCAAAGAAGTTGCGCAGCAGGGTGAAAGCTGCCCCCAGCGCTGCCACTGCCGCTGCCTCAGAGACTTGTGGCGGCACGACCGCGGCGACTGCGAAAACAGGTATACTATACCTGTTTGAAGAAATGTTCAAGTTTTTTATTTTTTTAAGTTTTGAATGCGTTAAACGGCTGTCAGATTAGAATAGCATCCTCTACTTTAGACGTCCTTTTGTACATCTTTTTATAACCCCCTCATAAAGTGCCTGAAAACCACGGCAAATGAATTCATAGATTCAGTAGCTATAAAGAGCTTTAAAAACACTTATTTTTGATGCGAAAGTCTAATAAAAATACGAGCCAAAAGCTCAATTACCTAATATCGCGAGATTAGCCTCTCACACCTTTCATAATAAAGAGCTTGAAGTTTAACGTCAACATTTTCATAGTAAATTTATGCTAACCTGTGTAATAATGTGTAGTTTATTTCTGTGAGCGGCATGGCAAAGTATACTACTATCTCCATAAGATACGAAATAGCGCAGAATGTAAGAAGCTGGATATTAAAGCGAAAATATACGCAAAAAGATTTAGCAAATAAAACAGGTATACTGTACCTGTTTTATTTGCTATCTCCATAAGATTTTATTTGCTAGTTTGAAGTTTATTTGCTAATTTGAAGTTTTATTTGCTATCTCCATAAGATAGCATTCTTCTTTTATTTATTGAGTTTGCTTATATTTATTGAGTTGCCTAAATTTCCAAAAACCAAAGAGGATCAGCTTTCAAGTATAGTTGAAAAATGGATATACTTCTTTAAATTTGCAGATGAGACTAGTGAAGAAGAGCTGGAAAAAATAATAGGTAGTGATGTAATAATTAAAAAGGCCTATGAAGAGCTAAATAAATACAACTGGACAGAAAAAGAATTGCTTGCCTATGAACAGGAAAGGAAACGTATTCTTGATGAACAGGCTATCCTCGCTCAAAAATTTGATGATGCTACTGAAAAAGGTATCAAAATTGGTGAGGAGAAGGGTAGACAAGAAGGTATCCAAATCGGACAAGAAAAAGGCAGACAAGAAGGTTTCCAAATCGGACAAGAAAAAGGCAGACAAGAAGGGAAAGTTGAGGTGGCAAAGAATTTACTTAAGGCCGGCATGTCTATAGATGTTATCGCTAAAATGACCGGCCTTTCCCATGATGAAATTCAGAGGTTAAGAAATTAGCATTATCTATACCATATAATATCTCCTTTTTTTACTTTAACTTTTAATCCCATCCGTTCAGCTTCATCTTTGCTAATACGCATTGAGTCCTTTGGCATTCTACTATATTTATATGTATTAAACAACTTGATCTGCCATTTTAAAAAAGTATGTGACATTCTGTTATATTTAGCCACGACGATGCCCAAGAGGAGACCTAAGAAAACTCCTGCGAAAGAGGTTCCCGAACCACCGCTGGAGGAGGCAAAGATAAAAAAAACGAAGTAAGGAGCAAGGTGCAGCTGTACAAGAAGCCAATTCAAAATCCAAGACTGCAAAGAAGGAAAGTGCAAGAAAGGCTGCTCCCAGGGGGAAAAATGCTGTTGCAGAAAAGATCGACGAGGCAGAAGAGGTGGCAACATCTGAAGTCGACATCAGACAGAATGGAGAGGCACAGGAGGTGGAGCCTAAACAAAAAAAGCGAAATGCGGGGAGAGTGAATGCGTAGATATTGTTGGTAACATATCCTTACTATAATTGTATTATTATAACTTATAGTTATTATCTCTAATTTATTAATTTTAATTTTAACTTGTTGACCAATTCCTTATACAATTTTAATTTTACATAGCTGACTAATTCCTAATATAGCTTTAATTCTTTATATCTTATTTATTACTGTAAGTTATAATTGTACCGACTGATAGATTACCGTCTTTTGATTTCTATTTTTATTTTTATTTTTAACTTGTTGACCACTAATGTTTCCACAACTTATTGTTCGGCATAAACTCACCTTCACGTCAGTCGGAATCTATCTTACTTCCAGTCCGGCGAGACGGTTAATAATATGCGTGTATTTCTAATGTTATTTCCCCACATTGTATTGCTATTCTCCACTAGACATATTTTCTTTAATGTTTAATAAATTGATCTTGTGATTATATATGTTCCTTTTGATAAGCTCGCAGTTGTCAATATTTATTTGTAATAAAAAGACTGTGAAAGGGTCTCCGTGTTCAATCTTCGTCTTTTCCCGCCTCCGTGACTTCCGTGGACAATCACGTGACTAGACGTTCAGCCGCAA